AAAAAAAAAAGTACTTAAAAACATTTTTGGAAAAGTAGAAATCCATCTTCCAGAACAGCCAGTGGTATGAGGACAGCCTGGACTTCAGTGCTTCCAGAGAAAACCCATCCTGATGGCTCCTGGGCCTGGCAGCCAGCCTGTCTCAGCTACCAGACTCGTATGCCGTTCTTCCTTCTCACTGTGGTGGTAAAAAGTCACCAAAACCAGCTCACTTTGCCTTTCAGTTGGCAGAATTTCAAAGTTTACCATTCCCTGGATGGCTCCAGAGACGTGCAGGTTGGACTTTAAGTTGGTTTCTTTCCTACTCTTCTTTATGAGAGTCCCTGTTGTCACGCCGCTGAGATTGCACCTTTCCAGCTGAAGTCTGTTGGGTGTGTCTGGAGAAATGACTTTGTATCTCAAAAATATCAAGAGTACCATTCAGATCTGAATTTCTCTTAAAAACTGTGCACATTTAGCAAAAATGATGCTGCTGTAAAAACAAAAGGCCTGCTCAGAATAGAAGATACAATGCAAGAGTTTAACACCAGAGGGTTTTTTGTTTCTCTGCTTCTTCTCTAAATGCAGGCAAAGTGTTATTAAGCTTTTCCTAAGAGAGCACACAGGGGTGTGGCATAATATACATTAACCAGGAACAAAAAACAGGAACAAACAACCATCCTAGAAAATGCTGCCTACCAGCAGGTTTCTGAAACATAAGGAATTGCATGGGAGTTGTCAAGATGAAGTCCACACACCTCGATCATTGAACTGATCACTAGATTCCAAGAAACCCAAGGAAATTTAAAAATACACGACAACAGCTGCCTAGAAGGCAGAGTTTTATCATCTGTCAATAACCAGATGAATAAAGTGCATAGCAACTACTGTAACAGTTTCTTGAAAAGAGAATACGTTTAGCAAGTCTCAGAGTTTGTAAGCTTGACACTTATCCATACGTTTTGCTACATGTGTGGCTTCCCTTTTGTTTTGCTCTTCAGCTTCACTCATCCACCCTTGAGCAGTGCCCCGTGGTTTCCTTTGCACTTCATATGGAATGTGCTGAGATCTCTGACTGCTGCCTGATGTACGTCTGGAAGCTCTTGTCACCAATGGGATGTTCTCTAAAAGAGAGGAAAAAGAAGAGGAAAAAGTACTATACCTAGAATTTTCTGTCAGGAGGTCAGAACAGAAAGTGAACAGACAAAACCTTTTCCCTAAATTTGATTGAATTTCAGAGTTGTAAGATAATCCTGCATCTTACTAGAACTGGAAGAAGTGACTGACTGGATTGATTCTTTTTTTGTCAGCCATGCTCAGAGTGCTTCTCTATTTCCACTTACACAAAACACAATCACGTGGCCATTTTCAGACACTCTTCCCATTTTTAAGCCAACATTCTAAAAGAAGCTGGTACATACATGTATCTATTGGAATTTACTGCTCATTCCATGAGCAGAGGTTCAAAATTAAAAACAAGGAAAAAAACAAACAAGCAAAAAACCCAAACACCCTACATGTCTTTTTAGGAATGAAACTGCATTAAAAAATAAGTCCTTTAAAATACTGTGGTACAAATCTTAAGTCACAATCTTACTTTGTATGTATTTGCAGGATCATTCTTAAACATGAATGTGGGGAAGGCCAGATCATAAGCCAGGGAAACACCATTTCCCAGGACTGCTCCCCTGTCTGGACAGTCCGTTATACTTACTGGCTTCCATATTTTGTCTTCTTAAATTTATCCCTCTTATATTGAGCATGCTCTTGCTCTAAAGTTCCAACACCTTCAATAATCAGCTTTAGTGTTTTATATGTCTCCTTAGGGTCATCAATGATGAATGTAGAATATTCTTCCTCTTCAGGTCCATCATAGACAGATTTGCTGCCACAGGCCTCTGAGGAAAAAAAAAATGAAACAGAATAGGTATCAGATAGGCAGGGGAAAAAAAAACAGAATAGGTATCAGATAGGCAGGAGAAAAAAAAATGATGAATGTAGAATATTCTTCCTCTTCAGGTCCATCATAGACAGATTTGCTGCCACAGGCCTCTGCGGAAAAAAAAATGAAACAGAATAGGTATCAGATAGGCAGGAGAAAAAAAAGCAAGACCCACAGCCTAAAAATACTCAGCCTGGGGTTCGTGCAGCTCCTTGGTTTGCTCCCACGTGACCAGCACAGAACAGGGGCTGACCTCACCAGGGAGCAGTTCCCTGTCCTTCCATGATGCTGGGAGCACAGGGGCTGGCCCGTGCCCCTTCCCTCCTCCTGGTCTCCTAAGGGCAGGGCAGCAAGCCTGGCAGCAGCTCCTTGGGCTGAGGCTGTCCCCTGCTCCACGGGCAATGCCAAAGCTCTCGGGTCAGTTGCCACAAGCAGTAGCCCAGGCACATGTTGGGAACTCTGCCAGGGTGCTGCAGGGCTGGCCTGCACAAAGTCAGGTGCTCACTGGTCAGGACAGCTTCTGCCCCTAGAGCAGCAGCTGAGGCACTGCACAGCACACTGGATTCCACTCGATTCCAGGCTGAAGCAGTCACAGATGATGTTTTACCACATTACCTCTGAAAGGTTCATACCAGTGTAAGCAGAATAGGACATGACTGCTGTCTGCTTAAGGACATGTCCTAGGAAGGGGCAAGTCATCCTACCTTCTGATCCTACCAAGCAGACTTCCAGGCTAAGAGAACAGGATGCTGATTACACATTTGCAACACACTCATCACATCATCTACTTCAGCAACAGAGAGGCTGTGGAGCCTCCTTCTCTGGAGATACTCAGAACCCACCTGGATGCAGGCCTGTGCAACCTGCTCTGGGTGAACCTGCTTTAGGCAGGGAGGCTGGACTACATCATCTCCAGAGGTCCCTTTCAACCCCTATCATTCTGTGATTCCATGACTCTAGCAGAGCACATTGGAAGGGCAGAGAGAGAGAGCATTTTATTTTGTCTCTGTTTTTCTCTAGCTTTGCTTGCTGTCTCAGTGTGAGCTTCCTTGCTGCACTGTCTGCAGCAGGCCTGTGCCCTTTCCCCTGACACTGAAACTGAAGGCAGGCTCTGGCAGTGAGGATTTGGGAAGGGGAAAGCTGGGCACTGGTTCAGCCAGCTCGGAAGTGCTGGGGATCTTCAGTCTGCAACTGCACAGGGGCCAAGAGTGGAGTCGAGCGCTTTCCAGTCGGCGTGTTTGACACCACTGGCTTAGCTGGTATTATAAAATAAAGTCCTATTTAAAGAGCAGTGCCACAGGGAAGGCTTCCCTGCCACTCCCTGTGCTAAACTGGGATTTCAAGTCTGGCACCATGTACACCGGATACTTTACTTGGCATGCCTACCAGGACCAACTTCCTCTGCTGTCTCTTCTTTCTTCACTCCTTCACGTCACATCTCTGCTCCCCTCAGCTCCTGAGGGATTCCTAGCCCAAATTTCCCTTTTGAACATTTCTAGTCACCCACAGGTCATCTTTTGCTGGTATTTCTGAAAGAGCCTTCCTAAGAAAACCATCTGTAACTGGCCTGTTCTTGGGATCTGAATCAAGGAATGTGCACATGACTTCTGGTAACACAAAACCATGTTCCACTGAAACCTCAACTTTGCTGGTGCTTCTTTGCAGGATCAGCAAACTTCTGGTTTACTGCACACTCTTGATTTGCCCATTGAGATCATCCAAGCAATGCTCTGTGCTTATGCTATTTTAGGATGCTGTGGTTAAGACCATATTTCAAGCAAACGTTCATTATGCAAAGAACTTTGTACAGAGAAGAGGCTGCACCAAAAATAACCCACACCACTGCCTCCAGAAGGAGAAACAAGTTGAATAATGGCCACGGTGTTCTAGGATGTGATTTGCAAGGCTGGGCTAGTTAGAACATCCCATATTTCACAGGTGTTACTGCCTTGCTGAGTGTACTGGAGGTGCAATGATCTTTCAGCCTCACCTTGCATTTTCTCCAGTTTTGGCATATACAGGTTGAAAAGGGAGTAGATACGCTCAGTTTCTCTGTCTCCATCTATATCCAGTTGGATATTTGCTGGAAGGCCTCTGGAAGGCATCAGGAAAAGAGGTAGAAGTTACATGCTGAGCATGTACATTATGGCACAAAAAGCACTTCACAAGGATGAAAGCAAAAGTGAGTATTCATAAAAGCCAACATATTGTATGTCATAGAGCTCAAAACTTCTTTTTTTTTTCCCCAAAAAAAGAAGGTAGACAAGTTCAAACTTGGTTATGCCTAGATTTATGCAGCATGCTTTCACTCTGACTTGCAAGAGAGGGCTGTGCCAGTATCCAGGCATTTGGGTGAATTAGTCTGCTGTAACCAGATGGAGGAGCCAAAGCACTGAACTCCCCACTGTCCAGATCTCATTCTGAGCCTAACCACCCCTACAGACTTGCTGCTTCTCTCATTTTAGAACAAAATTGTTTCCCATGAACCAGACAGCACCTCTGAATTTAACAGAGAAAAAGAGCAGTTTAGAATTAAATCTACAAACAAATGATTGTCCACTTCAGGAATTTACAAACAGGATGTTGAAGGGATTTCTGACAGTTTTACCAGTATCATACCCCACAGCCAACTCCTCTCAATGCCTTGAACTCTAAAGTTCCAACATTTTGACCAAGATAGACCCATGCTGACAGGATCAGAAATAGCAATAAAGGTGCCCTTTGAAAGCCCCTTGATGCCCATGTACTTGGCAGATCTTCTTGGTAGCTGCATGCCTGCAAGTCACGCTGCAGAGACACACAAACCCCTGGCAACACCCAGACCAAGGGCTTGTTCCAGATCCTCACCCTGTGCAGGGTGTGCAGCCAGGAGTGTTATCTGCAGTAGCTTTACAGCACAGCCAGTGGCCATTGAGATAGGCAGAGGGGTGGTAGACCGTGAGGCGCTTCTTGTTGCACTGGCTGACTTTGGTGAGGATATCAATCCAGTCCTTGGCCTCCACACAGTTATTTGCTTGGATATACAGGACTCTTCTTTCAGGCTGGATCACCTGGAACATCTGCAAAGAAAGAAAGAAGCCACAGAGTAAACCCCCAGAATGAGTCTGAGAACCTTAGGCTGGGCTCCAGCTGATGATTTATTCCAGGAAAACCACAGCATATTAAAAGAATGCACCAATAAACACTTTTCAAGCCCAAACCAGGCAGCAAATAGGGCCCTAAAACAACAAGACCTTTCACCTGGAACAAGGAGTGAGATACTGTTCCTGCAGGAGATGATTTACAAACAGCTAATATCAACTTGCTGGTTGACCCCCACTGAGATTTGCTGTCAGCCTCAGGGGTGCAATTTTAGTTGTGCTGCAGCTCCAAGTCTTGGAATCCTGACAGAGGGACCCAGCACAGGGCTGGGAAGAAATGCTCATCAGCAGGGGGCAGAAAAGCCAAAAATGAGAGTTTGGGTCCAGCCTGAGCAACAGCTTTGCTTGCATACTGCCCTACCTCTAGCCTTTTTCACACCTATTTGAGCAGGATTCTTCCTTTTTAATAATTTCCATGCTTCTGCACCCAGCTGAAGCTGCTACCAGCAAATCACAGAAATACAGTTTCTTTATAATCACCATCGGGTGGTTCAATTAACACCACATGAATTCTGCACTGTGGCTTGGGCACTGAAAACCTGCTTTAAAAAGGAAAATAAAGAGGCACAACCCACTTCATCCCTCCACCCCTACAAAAGAAACCCAAAACACCCCCCCAAAAAAAAACCAAAACCCCCACAAAAATTGAAATTAATTTTTGTCTGTTGCAAAGATTTGAAACATTGGCCTGAATTTTGCATCTGTTGGCCAGGAGAATGGTGCAGACTGGAACCAGGCATAATCTCTTCTTCCCTTCTGACACTTTTTAGGTGCCCAAAGTAGCTTGCAAATCTACTTGCTGATTTGGGAATGAACAGGGTTTTTTTTGATTACAATGTCCCTTCTAATAGGAAAGGGAAAGCTCCAACAGTCACTTGCCTGGATCTAATACCCTTATAGATGTCAGATAATAATTAGAAATAATTAGAAAGCCAAGAGCAGTGTAGGAGCTGCTAGTGTCATCAGTCTAGCACTGCCAAAATACACACCAAAGACAGAGTCCTTTTAATAAACTTTCCAGGACATAACTAGCAATTTGAGTCTGGGAAATAGGGAAGGAAGGAGGAAGACAAAGAGCCTGCAGCTCAACCCTCCATTAACACAGAACTACAGGGAAAAGAATTTTAATGTCCTGCTGGGGTAAATGGAGCCTTCTGCACTACAACAAAGAAACAGATTTAATGAGTATGGCTTTGTGTAAGGGGATACCAACCTAAGTGAACTAACATATGGCAACTGTTACTGAGAAGCCCACAACTAAGCCAAGAATTTCAAGTGGTTGCAAGACCTTTACACTACTACCAAAACCACCAGTTGCTTCCCAAAAAGATCCACACAGAAGAGCTGAATGGTACTTAAACCCACACCCACCCACCCCAAACTGTGCTTAAGGAAGATGAAGGGTACTGGCCTCACTGCCAGACAGGCAGATTTATCAGGAGTGAGGAAGACATGCTTGGTGCAATTCAGAGCACAGATATATACAGAATATTTATAGAAAATGTGGATCTTTAATCACACTTAACACCCATGGTGGAATATCCACTGCAAGTACATCTGCTGTGGTGTTGGGAGAATTCTGTTCTTGCTGTAGTATTTATGTATGGCAAGATAAATGGGAATATATTAGCATGGGAAGGTGATGATGGCATTTTCTACTGCTGATGGAATGACTCTGAACCTTACTTTCCAGTAGTTACCTTCATTTCCTAGGTAATACTGAATTTAAGTAACCCAAATAGCATACAGTTTCTGATGTTAACAATAAAGGGATATTTTTCCTGTAATAAATCTTCACAAGAGCAGCTATTTTGGATACATTCTAGCCCAGTAAACTCAGTGTAAGTTAAAAACTGCTGTCATTTAAGAGCTGGTCAGAATTACAGCTCAGCTCCTCCCTGCACAACAGTAAGTTTTCTCAATTGTGTGGCTACTTTTAGTTCAATCAAGTTATTTTGCAGAGTACAGCTGGCAACAGTTCATCACACGTTACAGCTGCCTTCTGACAGCTTGAAAATTATTTTGCAGCTTGGTTGCTTTTGCCTGTGTAATTAACATGAGTTATAAAGCCCAGAGCCAGCTACAGTATAATGAAGATGTGCTCTAGAAGCAAGTGAACTGAAACTTATTCCATCTTTTAAGAGACAGATGCTACCAAAATAACACCTGAGACAGGGGGAATACTGAGGAGTTAAGCACTGTATTTCACTTTATCACACTGTTTGAGGAAACTAATATCTAGGGCAGGTTTGAGAATTGCCCTGCACAGTGTCCCCAGAAAGGACAAGACAGGAAAGATTTTAGGGTAGGAGAGCTGCAAGTCACCACCATTTATGTGTACAAAGAAGTCTGTAGTAGATGCACATTTAAAACTGGAAAGTACTGAATGGGGTTTTTTATTTTAAAGTTTTTAAGGACTGTGCTCAGCTTTACAGGGAGAAGAGTGTGAAAAAGGCTCCAAACATCCCCTAAATTGATCATGTTTAAGAACAGTTCTTACACAATGGATGGGATGCACACAGAGGTTCCCAGCAGAGCTCCACACATGAGAAATACAGCTGTGTTTTCCTCCCTGACGTGGCACTCAGGAGGCTGGCATAGCACAGATGTTGTTTTGGCACATGACCCAACCCAAATATATACAGGCTTTCATTAAACAATGAAGAAAACCTGATAGCTAAGAAAGATGGATGTGGCTCTACACGATTGCAAGCAGCCAGTTCCTTCCCATCAGAGAGGTCTGACAGAAAGGGCAGGGACTCTATCACCTTACCTGTGTCTGACACTAGGGAGCCCAGGCAGCTGATGAGCAGTGCTCAGTCCTGAGTGTGCTGCAGATCACAACATCCAAGGGCTGCTGACTGGGCTGTTAAGAATCTGAATGGGCTGTACTTTTGGAAACTCCTGCTACTATATACAGAACAAGCAGCTGTGGTTGTACATCTTTCAATAGAAACCCAATCCAGGTTACAAAAGGGAAAAAAGCAATTGGGCTGCTGGGTCTAGACTAGCCTAACAAGTACATTTCATGAAGATGACCTACTTACATTTTTCATTTTAAAGGATTCCTCCTCCAGTCTTTCCACTGCCAGAATGTTTTCAATTGGAATGCTACACAGAGGGTGGTCACCTGCAAAACAGACACACAGGGACACTGAGCAACTTACAACTCAGCTTCACTCTCTGCCCTTAGAATAAGGGCTGATTCAGTTCCTTTGAAAATCATTTTGACTGCACCAGAAAAAGTAATAAATCTTCCACTCAGCAGGGATTTACTAGCATGGTCCTTAAGCATCATCTTTAGTTCATTTCTGTTTTCAGCTGCACTGGCTTATGCAGGCAAACCTTTTAGAAACAGACTACTGCAGCAGGACACAGTTTATTTCCTGAGGAGGTCACAATCAAAGACATCATCCCTGTGAGCTCAACCAAACTGGCTGACAGTGGTGATGTAAGATCTCAAAGCTGGATGTGAAATGATGACTAGAATGATTTGAACAGGTTTCCTTATCCTTCTTACTCCCTATTTATATGATGGAAGGAAGTGGCATTTGTGGTGTGCTACTGAACAGATAGGAACAATTTGTGAAATGCAAAATCCTTGATATTAGGCAACATTAAGTCAATGCATTTTTTCAAGTTCAAAGCTTGCAGGCAAATCCCTGCCTACTGCAGCCACCTCTGCCAGTGCTACAGAATTTAGGAGAACAAGCTGAGATGCACATGAGCACGTTCAACACAACCCCAAATTTCAACATAAGGTATTTGTATCCTGAGCTTTGTTTCCTTGGACAATCTACTAGGTCACTGTAAAATCTACAGATGATGTTGATAACTGATGTTAGATAAATATCATAAAATATTCTGCTAGTTTATAGGTTATTGTGCTATCCCAGAAGCTTCTCTGACAGTCAGTGCAGACATACTAAAAAAAGGGCAAGAACATCCAGGGTGACAGACTTGCCTGTCCTGTGCCTTCTACAGTTACAGATCCAGATCTCATTCCTCTGTTCTTACACCATCCTTCTGTTTAATCTTTGCTTCAACATTTGAAAAAGAAAGACAGGCAAACCTTTGTTACCTTTGCTTTTCTGATAGGTAAACTCGTGGTTTGTCAGGCGAAACCACCTCTTCTTGAAGTTTTTCATCCCAAATCGTTTCCTTCCTTGTGCTCTCTTGATCATGAACCTAGTGGAGAGGACAGCAGCTGTTACTCCAGATTTTACACACACGTGCATGTAAATTTATGCATGCATATAAAGTATGTATTTATGTATATGAATATATACATATATACATATATATATACACACACGTATGTGGTAGCACTTGCAAAGCTTTAGGAGGGGACATGGTGTTTTCTAACTATTGAGGTCTTGTCTGGAGAAAGAAAGTTGCATTTGGATGGGTTTAGTGCATTTGTTAGTTAAGCCTGTCCTTTTTCCAAAGAGATAAGGGGCAAAACATGTAGTTTAACTTGTAGTCAGCACAGGGGCTCTGGTTAGTTAGCTGAACTGTAGTTTGTGCCCTTTCCTCAGGTACAAATCCAGCTAAATGGTTTCCTACTACAGCAGAAAAAGGGCAGAACACAGTTAGTACTGCTCTGCTAAGCTTGACCTGTTCATTCTGCAAGCTTTTTGTATTATATTTTTTTTTTAAAGGCTGTGAGAAAGCTCAAAAGGTTTAGGGTATGTTTAATAATTAAAAGGCAAGTGTAATGCCTCTGGGACTGTACCCTTACATGCTTTAGTCACTCTCAAGAAACAGAATCAGGATGTTCCACAGCTCCATTGGCAATTGTGCAGTGATGCTGCAGTTGGAAATGTGTTTTCAATAACACACAAAGCAACGTGACATTTGAAAGCTGGAGCCCTCCAGCCCCCCCCTTTCTGGCAGAGGAGGGGTGTTCATTTAGTGAGCTGTCAGTTTTCATTAATTTCAAAGTTGAATTAGCTTATAAGACACTGTGATGCATTCACCACCTTCCTGACCACTAAATCAATCCAAAAGCTTCAAGGTGACTTTGGAAAACGTAGTGACTTCATACTGCTTGGCATCACTTTTTTTAGTGGGGGGAGAAAACCCAAGCTGTGTATGCATATGCAGCAGGGAGTCAGTAACAGCTACTCTACACATGACATTAACTACTGTGCCAAACACAGAATTGTATCATGAAGTGAGTAAAAACTACTCACTGCAGAGTAGTTTTTATCAAGTAGGAAGGCACTATACAGCACAAAGAACACACGGAGAGAGCAGCAGATGATCTGGCTGGAGAATTTCACCAGCAGAGCTAAAATGCTTAGGCCAGCTAACACTGGCTGTCAGAACAGCTACACTGAACCACAGCTCTGTTTAAAGCTCAGACAGAAACCCAAGTTCCTGCAGACTTTAACTGTTTTGTGACCAGCTGGGCTGGTGCCTGCTGCCCATTCCAAGCTGTGTGGCTGAAAGCCAACAAGGACTGTATACAGAAAAAGACTTTTTTTTTTCAAACCAGTTCTAGTTACACACCTCTCTCATTCTTAAAATGGCCAGACAGTTACTGTCTAGGTCCTTGCTTTTGGATTATTTGAGGAATACTTAAAACCACATGATTCAGACCACCACCAAGCCCACTGATTGTAGTCTTCGTATTTCAAGATTAAGGCAAATCTCAAGGAATTTCAGGTATCTTTGGGCTGGACAATATGTTTATCAAGTTAGTATCCCTTCCTTCTCATGCCAACATTTAAAAGGTGACTTAAACCTGCAAACTCCTACAGAGCCTCCCTCTTTGAAATATGCAACCCCCATACTGCAGAGCTAAGGGCACAGTTCTAATTAAATTCTTCAAAGCTGAGATAGCCAAAAGAAAAATGTGATTTTATTTCCCACAGACAGGTGACAAGCATTCAAAGCCACAAAGTAATAAGGTCAATTTAAAGGATGTCTTTGTTCCTAACATTCACAAAATGTGAGAAGTTGAAGCAAATAGAAGCACGAAGGGAAAAAAGTCCAAGATGAAACCAGTGGTGAGTGGTTAGAGATACTGTTTCTTCTCATGTTTATGGCAGACCTAGGCTTGGATCTGCCTTAGTCTTGCTTGGCAACATCAGCATGGCCCTTTCACCTAGATGAATGGCAGGACTAGCTCTCCTTTTCATTCTCTTCTTTTTGGCAAGAGCCAGGCAGGCAGCCTTTAAGCACCAATGACATGATCTGTGCCAGGGGCTAATCTTTGGTACTGTACGTTCATTCAAAGCACAGAGGCTACAGCTTTCCAGCTAGATACTCTTGACAGAGCCAAAGATAGATTAAAAAACCAAATGCAAACAAAAAACTTTGCAAAGGCAAACAGAAACCTGACTAACCAGCCAATCAATCTGGAGAACCATCGACTCAAAGGCTGCGAAAATTCCCACCCACTTCCCAAGATATATGACAGTAATGCAAAAAGTCAGGAATAATAAGACAGTTGAAGGTCATTGCTTAACCTTGAGACCAATTTACATGAGTGCTACTTAAGAAGTGCCTAGAAAATGTATGACCACTTCTTCATCACCTGTAGTAAGTTCATTGGGATCTACACACTGAATATTATGCAAACCTCAGTGCTTCTCAGGGCCTCTGCCTACAGATAAAAGTCCTTTATTCCCTATTTACAGCAGATTTAAGGAAGGGAAATGAAACAGAGTTTGTCAACGTCAAGAAATAGATAACAAAATGTTCTCTGCTGGGTTTACACAGGCATTTCAGGATTGTTAAACAGACTACTTCCTCCCCAAAGTTAAGTCAGACAAGTCTATTGCTGCAAAGGAAGGACATGCTGTCAGCCTTGCTTGGAAGCCTCAGCTACAGCAAAGCACCAACTGCCCCTACCATCTTACCTGCATGAACTATTACCATCAACTTTCTTTACTGTTAGTTTAAGAGTCCTTACAACAGCAGCCACAGGCCGAGCAAGAAAAGACAGAAAAAAATGAGACAGGAGCAAAAGAAAGACACAGGCAGAAAAAAAATATAACGTTTTAGAGTTAGGGGAAAATGTTACAAACAATAAATTTATTTTCAAAATAAAGTAATGATAGATAAATGTACAGAAATAAAATAGACAAAACTTGCTTCTAGGGACAGGTGTTCATCAGAGAAGTGAACTGCAGAAGTTAACTGGAAGGGGTAGCCATATTTTCACTCAAGACCTAATTTTTGCATGACTTAGAGTTACCATGAAAGCTTTCTTTCAAGCAGCAGTTCAGCTTACTAAGCTCTGAGAGGAAGAATCTGGATATTTTCTTTTACTGTCTTCCTCCCAGCCCAAAGAAGCTGTTGCCACAGTGAACCTCGATGGTCGTAACACTTCAGTATTGGAACAAAAAATGTCCACACTTAGCATTTAAAACTGATAGGGCATATGGAACATGCTTCCACACAAAGTAAAGGTATTAAAACTAGAAACTGTTCCAAGTGCACCACAAACTGCCATGGTAATGACTAGCATATGGATCTTCCAGGGCAGCAGAAGCAAATTCCATTTGCAGGCTTTGCCCTCACTACAACATTCAGTATCTGCCTTCACAGGGGAATTTTACAGCTTTTGTTCACTGGAGCTCAGGATAAGAAAAATCAAATCAACTTGATTTTAACATAATGGTGATTTAAGTTTATTTTGCCTTAGCTGTGCTAATTAAGTTCTACAGGCTTCTTTTTTCTCCATTTATTTCAAACCATACTTAAATTAAGACGTTTAAATCAAATGAAAAGATGTTAAAATCAGCTATAGCAGCCAAAGGGAGTGGAAAGAGCAACACAAGAACCTTCCTGCACTCTTCTCTGGACATGTGGATGGAATAGGAGTGGTGGAGAAAGATAGCTGCCTTAGAATGGTAGCAAGCACACAAGTGAGGGTTTTGTTGCACGTGCATGCTTACCCTTCTTTAAGCAATATAGGTTGCTCTATGCTCTTGTGATCCTTCCTTCCTGAAGATGAAATTAAATCTAGAAACTAAAAGGTGAACAAAAAGCAGAGGTGAAAATGACAGGACTGCACTACCCAGATTAAAATCTTTTAACATTTGCATAATACAGAGCTACAAGAAAATACTGTAAAAGTAGTTAAACAGAAGGTAATGGCACAAGCTTGAGGATCTGGGGAGGTTTCCTGGGTTGTGAACTAAAAAGAGAATAAATGCTTTTAAGCAGGAAAACTGCAGATGACCAACACTTTTCATGCTTCTCCTTTGCTAAATGATTCTTCCACTTCCTTTTGGACCAAGCAATTTTTACCACAGATCTGCAGCATCCTATGAGGCAGGGACATGTCTCAAGCTGTAAGCAGCAGCTTGTTAATCCAACCTAATTACTAAGTAGATCCAAAGAGACTCTACTAATGACATGCCCATAATATGATACAAGTTTTTTGAATATTACAGTTATCAGGAGTCTGCTTTCTTATTCCAGCACACACTTTCTGGTTTCCAAGCAGTAGGTATTACATTCTAGGATTCTGAGCATCAGCTTCAACAACACAGCAGGATTTTCAGAACATTCACATGCATTACTTACATTTTTTACTGCATCTGCATATTTCTGCTCATTAAAATAGTCATAAAAAGTGGCCATGTAGGATTCCTTAAAGTTGGCCTGAAATACAAAGCCAAAACCATGCATATCATAATACAGTTTATTCAGAAAATATTATTTCTAACAGCAGTAGACCAAGCCACCACAGATAAGAGGGCTTTTTTTTCTGGCCAGAGGTAAAATAAGCAAAGTGCTACTTTCATGTTGTACAGCACACATTCAGTAGTACCAAACTTTTATTTCAGTAAGGCAGCAGAATGCACTTCAAATGTTCAGTTTCTACAATTAATAGCACATTCTTCCAAAGCTTCAAATTTCTGCTTTGGCTTTTAATCTGGGTCCTGAAAGAAGCTGACAAATAGTGTGAGAGAAGGAATTCTGTTGCCTCAAAGGATTTGTAAAGGAGGTACAGATTCATCTACAGTTGGCTGTGTGAACCCTGAGTAGACCTCCAGCAACCTCAAATTATCACTAGACATAGCAGTGTGGTCCATAGGTACACAAGTTTTATTTCAATCAAATATCTAGAGCATGAATATCTAATCTCATCACTGACTGGCAGAAAACTGAATTGGTATGAAAAAAAAAAAAAGCAGAGCCCTTCCCTTTACTGGTTCTTCTCAGGTGAGCTTTAAAATGCTGAAACAACCTGTAAAGCACCATAGAGCTGCTATCATCTACCAGAGGCAAGGAGAGAACTTAATGGGTTTTCCTGATCACTGTCTTTCTTCCAGAAGGAAGGAATGAAAAGCCCTGGAACAGACTTCTAGGCTGGTCACATCATTTTGCTTTACTGAAATCTAGTTCAGATTAAGACAGATTTAGCTTTCCTGTGAGCATGAGAGGCTTATAACCAAAGCAAACATAACCAGTTTTGCATAAGCCTAGTGCAACTCAAGCATTTTAAAGGCTTAATTACAATGAGTGATAAAAGATTAGAAAAAAAAGAAAACCACTTTCCTAAATTGAGCCTTTAAATGAAAATGGCATACTTACAGATTTAGATTTTGATAGGCTGCCTAACGTTTGGATGGTTTTAGAGATCAGTGTCAAAGTCCGAGAGGTCTGGGGATCCTAGGAAAGAGGGAAATATTACATGGACTAGCTATTTAAAATATGGACTACACTTCTTTCTTCTTTCACTTGCAGAAAGGTAATATACTAGTACAAAAGCCCCAGCAAAACATTGCAGAAAGAAAGGCTTTTTCAAAGGCTTTTGACTCTTAAGCCAACATGCTTCTTAGCTATGCTGTTGCTCTTTAGAGAACTGAAGGCAATCACTTGCAAAACAAAAATAGAGATTTCCATCCTGAAGACTGCCCAGGTCCTCCCCACTCCCAACAAGAACAGCTACTAAAAGTCTTGGAGAAGTTGCTTAATATTCAAAACATTTCCAGCATCAATGGAATGTTGCAGAAATGAAGCAGTGACCACCTTTTCCATAGCAGGCTAGACCATCTACCTTGTCTGTCCTTAAATTTCACTGCTCCTCTCATACCTCCCAAATTCTTGATAGTCACAGTCATTCAACACATGCTTCATATCCAAAACAGACATAGCAGATCCTTTAAGTAACAAAGGTATCTCTCCTAAAGGCTATTAAAAGAACTGAAGGAAGAATCTTGATGGACTGACTATGGTGACAGAATCATATACACAGGAAAAAAAATACAGTACTTACTGGATGGTGTGGTGTAAGCTGAAAGAGGTTTGGAGAAAGAATGGCAGGAGCAAAGAATCTCAGGAAAATAAAGCTGCTGACAGCTGTATACCTCACATCTAGGTCACCTATTTAAAAAAAAAAGACCTCTACTCAGCATTTCCAATAATCCTTCCTTTAAAACCTTCTGAAATTATCAGAATGCTTTCAGAAAGCTAACTCAAGCACGTGCTGGAGATGGATTTCTGGTTACAGGATTAACTGATGGTGGAGAATCTGGAGCCGGAGATCAGCTAGCATAAAACAAGGAAATGCCAATGACAGTCTTCTAAAGAGAAGTGACTTCATGCCACAGGCTGCATGGAGAACCCCATCCACTTTTCCACTGCAGAGGGAATGTCACACAAACCTCTGCTATACCAGCTAAGCAGCTACAATGAGTAATTGATGTAGGTCAGCACAGGAGGCCAGCCTTCAGTTACCTAGTTATAGCCCTGAGCACAAGTGCTGTACAGACCACTAAGATTTCTACTTCAGTTGGTAGTTACCAAAAATACAATGTCTTTATTTTTTACATAAAATAAAGAACATGACAGCACAGTCGATGACTTTCTGCGTGAGCTTCTCTACTATGAAGTGACTGTTTTAAAGCTGAACTCATATTACTGTCTCTAAAACTTCCTTACTGTAACCTGCTTCCCTTCACAAAAACACACAGGTGGGTTGTTTTGCCCAGTTCTGGTTTTATATTGCCCAGTGATTCTCACAGAGCCAAGCCAACCAGGAGGGAATGGAAAGAATTTTCTCTGGACAGCCAGAAAACCTTTTCAGCACATGGGCCTCCTAGGGCAATGAGCTTGCAATAACTCCAATATTTCATAGATGGGCCTTTATTACAGGTTGATGTATGAGCATAAAATAATTCATGGAGTCTGCAGAATGAGCCATGACAAAGACCTGAACATTTGAAAACGGAGCGTACTTCACAAATACTGAAACCATAAATACATACCAGCATAATGCTCTTTTTAAATGTTGTTTTCCTTTGAAAGATTGTTAAGGAAAACTCACACATTGTTAAAAGTCATCTTCTTTGTGGAATCAAGGAAAAAACAGCATTAATACACATTCCAAGTGGTATTCTGGATAAAGTGCTGTTCAATTACGAAATCCATCACGGATCAGGCATACTACTAGGTTATAGCTACATTTAAAAGCTATCAGGGATATATAATACAATAATATAAAGAAACTCACCTTGAAAACGTTTGGCAGCTGATTCTCTCAGTGAAAAGAAAATATCACACATCACTGTAGGGCAGCTTACACCAGATTTTGTAATGACAGTAAAAATGCGATCAACATATTGCCTCAAATTTTCCTGAAAATGCAATGATTGTGACAAAATTAGTGTCATTTTCAGCTGTGGAAAGAAGTGCTGTTCCTGCTTTTATGCAAAATGGCATCATTAGAAGATTTTCATTTTCAACATTCTATACTTGCTCATTATCTACTGTCTCAAGCTCCACAATACTTTCTTTGGTAAACACAAGTATCCAAGTACAAAAGTAAAAATATTATTCCTATCAAAACCAAGCATCAAGTGAAATGGCTCTGTGGTGGATTGCTCCTTTTTGTAGCACCTTTTTCTACATCATCAGTAAAGCCACTAAGTTATCCTTGTCCTCAAGGGTGAGCAGAGGAGAGAGTAACATTTTACAGATATTGCATTTCTAGCATAACGTAAAGCTTTTGTAAAAGAATTGTAAGTCTGTGGTGGTAAGAAAGCTGCCAGTGCATTCTAATGAATGGCAAAATTATTTGCAACATCCCATATCTGAGGACCTCAGTTAAACTGGATAGTGTGAACAGAGATTACAGATTTCAAAACCTAATGCATACCCTGTTATTTTCCAGGTTTTCACCATCTTTTAATTTCACAGGATCGATTTCACAAGTTTTATGGACCTGGCAGATCTGGGAAAAAAAATACAATGAAGAATTAATATATCAGTTTACCCTTAAGTTTTTTAAAAAGCATAATCTGATAGTTTTTTGGAGGTAAAAGGCAAAAGCCAACTTTCTAAATTTGTTTTTTTGTTGACAAAGCAAAGGTAAATTACATATGATCTTTATTGTTTTCCAAAAAATAGCATTAATTGGTTCTACCCTTTCCTTCAACTGAAATAAAGAATTGCTCTTCAGGCTCTAAAGCAAGGCTCTTCAAGAAAAGTCCTCTTTGGCCAAAACAGTCAACTTTGAAAGTATATTTATATTCTTTAAAAACCTGACATTCTCAGATGAAACATTAAAAAAAAAAAAGCAGCTGAAGAAATTGTCAAATCATTTAAAGGAAGTCTGTGGTCTGAAAGTATTGCCCAATTACTGCACTAAAATACCCACACCCACCATTCTGGACTGGATAGATAATAAACCATTGCTATAATACACACATCACAGACACAGTTATCTAAGAATAACTTTTCATCCAGTGGGTATAAAGGAAGAAGTGTATTACTTATAGCTTCCAAGCAGCATTCTGCCATTATATGTTCTTTATTCATCTGTGTTATTACTTTATTATTTTCTCAGAAACAAGAAACAAACAGTTTTATAACCCATGATAATTTAATTATATAAATTTAAACTTTCCTTTTCCTTTAATACAATCCAACTGTTTCTGAATTGGGTGACTCAGCTGTGGCTAAACTAACACACAGGATTTTAACATCAAAACAGGCTCTTCAGCATTATTCCTACAAAGTCATCTCAAAATGGGAAGGAATAAACAGTGTCCCTGAAGGCCTTTTACAGTGACATTTCATCAAAGAAAGTCTAAACTGCCCTTACCTCATCTATAATTGGCTTTAGAGTAACTTGCAGATAATGCATCCCTGCCAGTTTCATTGTCTCGTCAATGCACTTGGAAGTTAATGAGTTTCCTCTGAAAATGGTGTTTGGATCTCTGGAAGTGAACAATTTTCTGTCATTTAGTCTCTTTGTAATGAACTGCTAATATATGGAAATAAAAGAAGCAGCAAAAGGTGACAGAAATCTGGGTTTGAATGTACAAGCAAAATTACTCTCTTTGAGAACACAAGTCTGCATTCATTTTGTGCCTGCAGTTCCTTGTATAGCAATTTACACTGTGAGATAGGTACAGAATCAGTGATCTCATCTACAACCCCTATGATCCAAATCTGTCCCTACTGACAGCAGATCAGACTTGGATATGAAGTTACTTGCTTGTTCTTGTACACACACCAATGTCTTTTCTGGTTTTTCTAGCTTAGTACTGCTGTAGCTATTTACCAGCAGTGAACAGCAGGATGAATTACTTTGCTGGATTCATCATTTTGTTTCACAAAAAAGCTCACTGCCAGGAAGCCCTGAAGCAAACACCACCTTTGCTGGTGCATCACAGGAGCATGACTGACTAGGGAGCAGATTTCTTCACACTGCAGCAAGCAAGCTGCCTGAGCCAACCTGCAGCACAGAAAAAAGACACCTACCTACAAGGAAGGAAAACACTGTCCCTTAGACACTGCAAAAAGCCAACCCACACAAAGACTTTATTTTTTAGTGAGGAAGCTGTTAGAGTCAACATCTGTCATTCCCCTTGACTTCCAGTTGTCTCTTCTACTGCTGGTCAAGAGCATGACTACACAGGCAGGGGGCTTGTGGCAACAAATGTTCTTTAGGACTTGCCTGGTGTTTATTCTAGATCTTACACTGCTAAACTGTCAGCCCACCAGTAAGTCAAACATGGGACTTATAAGAAGTGACCAGAAAAAAGATTGCTTTCTGCTATCCACTGCCAGATCCAATTCCATCTTTGTTCCTCAGTCCTCTAATTGGACAGATTAGACAGACAGCTTGCCTTAAATATTCATGATTAGGAAGAAATTTGCTTTTTTGTTTTGAACAAATTCTCCACACACTTTTACTCAGCACTAGATGATTTATTAGCACACTATAAAGCTGAAATGATTTCATACCAACAGCTGAAGGTAATGTTGGATTTCACAGTTATCAAATACAATTAAGACTGAGAAGAGTCAAAATCCTGTCTCCCAGACCTCACAAGAGTCTTGCAAGCAGATTTTGCAAAACATGATGGGAATTCCTCCTAAAATCAAACTCTGTAAAGCAGTGAATGCACTGATAAAGACCTCTGCCACTCAGCTGGGAGGAAGAGTAACAACTCCAACAGTTTCTTTGGAAATTACATATAATTCTAGGGATGGAGTGGAGGATTCTAATACTAGCCAGCACAGAGTGGGTGTGTTTGACAGCAGTTTGGTTTTTGGTACTTACTGAGTTCTCTTCACTTCAGCATTTGCAATGGCACTTATGAAAGGCACAATTTTGCCATAGTGTAAGAAAAGCCTGACCAGAGGTATGGCTGCTTCCTGTTTTTCTCTGCAAACTTCACCCAAAATGTGTGCAGCCGATGCTGAAACGGGCTGAACAGTGGAAAGAAAGAAAAACTGTGAGAGCTCTTCCTGGAACAAGCCCCCTTTCTTTCCCCATTAGTTCCTTATTGCAGAACTCCACACAATACTTAGCAGCCAGTTGCCCAAATGTGCCTGCACACAACCTGGGTGGATGTTACATCCCATTTTTTTTCTGGCTCCAAGTTCTGATCACAAGAGGGCAGTAATTTAAAAACTATTACAGTACAGTCTCTTCTTGCAGCCCCCTTCTTAATAATTCTCTTCTCACTGAATGTTACTGTTGCCTGGGCAGCAAGTGAAGAGGAACAACTCCAACTCTTCTCAAATTCAAGCCACTGGAAGTTCAAAACCCAGTTTTTGTACTGAAAAAATAAAACCCCCTTACAACTGCTAGAAGTATACATAATGGCAGACATGGTCCAACCCTTTGACACTGGAGGATTTGTTCTTGGTTTGAGTTTGTTTTGGTTGCTTTTTTTTTTTAATTATGCAAGTAAACCTGTTCCTCCCCAGTAAAGGAAAATCAACTGATCAAACTGAAGTTTACTTTGCATTTTCACATGTAAAATTAGAAAGCCAGGAAGAATATGCTGCTGCTAAAACCACTGGTGTTCCTGGGTGTGCCTTCACCCCCCATACTGCATGCAGATAAAGATCTTCTCTGCAAGGACTGAAAACAAGTACCAGGGATATGCAGAGCTTAACAAGGCCCTCAGGCCCCAAGAGGAAGAAGCTGAAGTCTCTGGTAATTACACAACTATGGTACCACAAAGATAGTGACAGTCAAAGACCCCTGAAAGGATGACATGCAGGTAAACAACAAGCAGTGCAAGCAAATTACCTCAACATCTGCAGATTTTAGCAGGAGGTCTCTAAGTGGACTGTAATAGTCTGAGGAAAAAACATGGTCCTCAGTGTAAACCACATTTAACCTTAAGGAACCAAGGTCATCAGGTTTCAATGACTTGTTACCATTATCTCTGGGCTGCAGGAAATACCTGATATGCAAAAAATAAGACAGAAAGATGGTGTGAAAACCCGAGATTATCTCAGGCTATACATGAATATATATAAAAGGTACATGTAAACAATTTTTTTATATATATATATATGTACACATGAAATTCTTGAGAATTCTGAATCAGGCTTTTTAATTGTTTGCCAGTCTATTTTGCACCAACTGTAACACAGGAAGTTCTGATCATAAAGACTTCTGTAAATATGACTAAAAACCCACACACTAGAACTATGGCACTGCAGATGAACTGCAGTAAATAATATCACAGAGCTAACATATTAAAACTCCCACATGCAATACAGAGGCAGACTGAAATCTCTAATCACATTATCAAAACTTCTTGTTCTAACATTTGCTCAGATTACTTTGGCTTGCTTACAAAAAAAAGATAAAAATTAAATCCATTTAAACTTTATCACATAGCAGTAATTACTCTAAAGTCTTCACAGCAGACATATGTTTCTACTTATTCTCCAAAAGAAAAATGTCAAATACCATGCTTCATAAGAACTAGACTGTCGGAGAAATTTCAAAGGGAGTCTCAGTTCTCCTAAAAACTCGTCTCCAAACTTCAAGTTACTGGCATTCCAAAGATCAACCCTGTAAGAAAACCAAATAATTGTAAAAGATTCACAATAAATAAAAAAATTAAAATCAAATAATCCCAACCTTGTTTTCAGTTTTGCTGAGTTTTTTTTCCCTGCTCAAGCCCATGAGTCACAAACTCTTGAAACTGTACAACAGTGGTTTGCAAACAGTAAAGAGACAACATTTACCTCAGACTCCTGGAGCCTTGCAATCCACCTCCACAAAACATCAGTGATAAAAATAACCTAGACTATCTTTCCCTCATCTCTACTGTTCCCACTACCCATATTCATAAAGATTCAGAGGGCTGTTTGGCTATCACAGATAATGGAAAAATAGAGGTAAAATGGACACCAAGGGGGGGAAAGTGCAGAGATAGGTAAGGACCCCACACTGTCAGTCCCTGTCTAATCTGGGGTTAGCAGCAGTGAAGCAGAAGCCTTAGAGAGTCAGGCTGAATGTCCACATAGTCCTTCCCAGTGCTCTAGAGCTCCTGAGAACATCCACTGTGTCAAGCTTATAAAGCTGTTTCACCTAAACTCATTCTGTACAGATACTTCAAACCTTGGGAGAGTTTTACTACTCCATATAATCTGTGTATTGACTGGAGCCTTCACAAGTTTTAGTACCCAGTCCCTCATGTTTGGGGAGTTCTAGCATGTGTCTCTAGATGATACCTCCTCTCCTTTCACGTGCTCTTTAATAGGATGTAAAACAACTGCACTGAGAACCAAAGCAGTAGTGGTGTCTAACCTGGCATTTGTAGATAAATGCTACAACACCCACCTTGAAGCAAGGGTTTCAAACTCCAGGGTAGCTGTTTCTGTACATATTTTAAGGTTTCATCTGAGAGGCAATTTTGCTTTAAAGAAAGCTCAGCTGAGAATTTTGCAGCTAAGTGACAGTCTGCACGTGCCTTAAACTTTGGAGAAGGTAAAATGCATGGGGAAAAAAATAGAGGTTTTCAAATAATGAGAATTTTTAAATGAGCAATTTTAATGTAGTTAAGGTGCAAAATTATCCAATTATGGACATATTCAAACTACCTCCCTAGTCTCAAGCAAGTCCCAGTAGGCCTGGCCAGCAGTGGATGCTGATCGTCCTGTTAAAGGTTTATCCTACCTTATGCAAGTGCTGAGGATGTCACTTTTAAATCCTCTAAGCCTTGGATCTCTCAACAGTGTCTCATGCATCAAACCTCATACACTAGACATACTACCAGCTCTCACTGCATGCCTGCTGGGTAAAGTTCTTCAAACTTTGATATTTTGACTGTATTTCTACAGGACAGCAATTCCCCAGAAAGAAAAAATCTACCTCCTCTCCCTTTTCTCCATACCTGTTATCTGGCTGGCTAATTTCAGATTGCTAAAAGCAGGTTCAGGAGGAAAGGAATCTTTTGAGTTTATTTACACATACTCAAGCTTAGAGCTTACCAAATATTTACAGGCTACTGGTTTCTAGATTATCCAAATTCTTTCAAGATGCCCACTAGCAATAGCACACACATGCAGCCAAAGGGTGTTCCCCCCCAGCAACTTAACTTAGAGAAAAAAATCAGTGCAAAGGATCTGTGGGAGAGAACTAACAACTCAAGGCAGATCTCACACTACACAGTAAGCAAAGCAGGCATGCAAATTCTGAAATTGTTTTGTGCCCTTGGTACAAAGCATAAGCAGCATTTAAGAAATCATAATACACAAAACCTCAGAGTCTAAAAGATTACTGTTTCCTGAGCTTTTCAAAAAGCAAAATTATGGCATTATTCTGAAACTGGTCAGACTGTAGTCACAGAAAGAAACAGCAGGGAGGGGGAGAAAAAAACAATGAATTCACCAGACCATCTGGTCCCTAAGTGTTGATCTGCCCAGCCTGCAACTTCCTACACCCACTCAAGAAGAGCAACTCTCATAGCTTTAGAGAGAAACCATGAGAGACTAAGTCTCCTCTTTACCCTGAGGAATGGTCTTTTTCTCAGGAGAGGAAAAGAAAACAACCCCCCAAAGCCATAAATTGTATGAGCCATCCAGAGGGCACGGGGGCAATCTAACAGTGACTGCACAGAGGGAGGAAGTGAGCGGGGGTGGGAGGGGAACCTGAGATGGAAACAAAAACACTTTGTCCTATAGGGGAAAAAACCTCTGAGCAAAGAGTTTGCCCAACCAAGACTAACACTTTATCTGCTCTTGTGTGTTATTTATGTGCTTAATCTTTTCCCAACTATTTTGGAAGCCTCCTCACAAACTATTCATCTTTACCACACTCTGATGTGCTGGTTTTAAGGAATGAAAGGCTTTTCTGAAGCTCAGCTCCACATACATTATTGCTGCAGACAGTCATTTGTCCAGGAAAGATACTAAAGTAATATAACTGTATAATTCCATTCAGTCCAGCAGTACAAACTAAGAATCAACTGAAATATTAAGCAATGTATAACCCCTGTCCACCAATGTCTAGGGTTCCCTTTCAGAGTCACAAAACTATCATTTAAACTCTGTGTGTAGCTGGGCATCAGGGTTACAAAGACTAGACTGGGACTTCCAAGAGTATTCATAATTCCATTCAGTCCAGCAGTACAAAATAAGAATCAAGTTGCCCATTCCATCATAGAGATCCCACAGAATATGGGACATGTTCCCTCATACCTGCTGACATCATGCAAAGCTTTGCAGAAATATAGTCTGGTGGAAGAGTAAACCACCATTCTCCCTCAACCTTTCTTCTTCCATGTCCTAGCATAAACCAAGAGGAATTTCTGACCACCTAATGCAGCTACATGCACCCAGATCACCAGATGGCCTGAGTCTTCAAGTTTCACTGTATATGATGGTATGACGCATGTGATACCTTTAGGTTTTGCACCTCCTATTGTTTCCTCTCCACTCTTTCTGTTCATATGTCCCCAGACACTGTTGCCAAACCTCAGCAGGTCTTAAAACAGTACTAAGTGGGTGGCAGGGGGTGGGGTGGGGTTGTTTTGTTTCTGAAATCAGAGTTCTTTCCCCATGCAATGGATTTCACATGTATCGTACCCAGCCTTGCAAGAAGAGGTTAAAGTCTGGCAGGCAAAAGAGAAGAGAAACTGCCTCTGCCACAGAGAAACTCTTGAGTTCAAGTTTCCCTTCAGGGAAGAAGGATCTTATATGGGTTGCTAAAATTAAGTGATAAAAGAAAACATAGACAGAGCATCACAGAGCTTGTGGGCTCTCTTGGGAAACTGAGGGAGGGAGGAAGGGAAGGGGAGCTCAGACATGAAAGGCTGTGCTTAATGACAACCATGCATTAGTATATACAGTGTATATAGGACACAGAGGAAGAGAACAGGGATCTTTCCTGCAGCAGAACCATCCCACATATTCAGCTGTGATCTACAGGACAACTGAGGTAAGTCAACAGATAGAGTGGTGAAGACTCATCTTGACTGGAGAACATCAAAACCATTAAAACTTAGTCTACTACAAAGTGACACAACTTTGGAAGACAACTTCATTAGTAGAAAGTGTTTTATATTACCTAATCTCCATTTTGTCAACTTCATCAACATCTTCAATATCAAAATGGGATTTCTTGTTGTAGCTACTGGGTCTTGTAACCTAATAAAAAGGAGGAAACTTTAACAGCTTGATCTGATACAAAAGCATTCAGATGTTACATGTACAAAACTCTGGAAGACTGCAGCCTTCTCCTGTCAGCAGTGACTTCAGTCCTGATTCTGAAAACATTCATGCATGTGAATAAACACTTTGACTAGACAGATTCCTGACTATACAAAAGTGGTGGTTATACAATCATCTCCAAGAGTAACTAGATACTCCATACTTTTTTACAAAGAAAGGACATCTTTAATACCACTAGAGTACTTTGAGTTTACATAGATAGAAGAAAAAACAACATGGAAAGGAGTACCACTTATAAGCCATCTAGGGAAATAAAAGAGCAATTAATAATTGTGTTTAAATACAGTTGTACAACAGATGCCCTGAGGCACTCTGAAAAGGAAGGGGGAACCCAAATCAAAACCAACCTGAAAAACATTCTGCAGTGGATCCAATTAAAATGAAGTCAATTAAAATGAAGTTCTACCTGTCCTGATACCCTGGATGTAAATTTATCATGCCCATACAAAAAAATAGCAATTTATTATGTTCTGTACTGTTATCACAACACAGAACTAGGTGCACAGTTCACCAACCACATCTGCCAGACTGATAAACAGCAAAGCATGGACAGAAAATAAAGGGAAGATAGTTGTAAGCTTAGAACATTAGCAGTAAGTTTTTGTACAAGCATTTTATGATGTTAGAAAACAAATTTTAAGAAAAGACTTTGATGGTTGTGTTTTTGTATAGCGTGTCAGAAACTTGAGCAGAAGGCTGCCCCACCCAGCTGAAACCACAGCAGGAACTGATCAAACACAAGTGTGTATGATGTGTGGGTTCAGCTCTTGGTTGCACACAGAAGCTGAACTTTATTGTAGGTTTAAATATGCTTGTGGCTTAATACTTCCCACTCACTAAAACTGGCTCTTATTGTAAACTTGACTTCTTGGGTTTAGATTGTACATCTGATGCAGATGGTACAAACAAGGGAGGCAAAGCTGCAGAAGTGGAGAGGAACCAGAAAATCTTCAGCACAGGACACTCAAGTGACTCTTTTTTTGTGTGTATGTTTGAGGCAGGCATCATTTTCAAGGCAATACAGAAAAACTAGAATGTACTAGCAGCACTGGAGACCAAACCCTCTAAACTAACTAAACAAAATGCACTTTTAAGCCCAAGACCACAGAGGACTTAAATACAGCCTACAACCTCAGGAGCTCAGCCCAAATTTTATCACCCTATCCTTGCATCTGTCTTCATTGTGGTTTCAAGAAATAATCCTACAAAACTGCAAATGACATTTTCTACAACCATTGCAAAACTAATGGTGTCATTTTTAATAAGGAAGTCAACTTCTAAGTCTTGTATTATCTGTGCCACAAGTTGTTAAAAAACTTATTGTATAGGTGTAACTTAGGGCATGACCCTTTTAAGTAAACAGTTTCCTGAGCAATTTTGCCAGAGTCTGCACATCAGAGGTCTTTCTGTTTGCCTGTATGACTGCTTAGTGTGTAGATTAATACAGCTCAAGAGTGGTATTCCTCAAAAGATAGCTGTATGAAGTCCATCCATTCCAAGGATGGAACTGGAGATGAGGGAACTCCAAATCCACAGCGTTGAACTAGCTGCCACATAGCATTTGGCAAAAAACAGGGGGCACGAGTCTGCAGCACTGCTCCTTTTCTTTAAGCAAAGCTGGGAAGCCATTTATCAGCTGCAACCTTTTTTCCAGCACATGCAGGTTTATGACAGGTCCTCAGGTCCTTCCTCAGTTTCTCTAGGAGGGCCACTCTGCTGAAGCTGCAGACAGAATTCCGAGCCCCCTCACCACGCTGCAGCTGGAGCCCTGGTGAAAATGGCTCCTCACCATCAGGTGCAAGTTTCACTCATAGCACCCCTTAAATAAGCCCTCAGATTTCCCCAAAGCAATGATAAACTGTTTTCCACTTAGCAAATTCGATCTGTGTGACTTTTTGGTTGTGGAAAGCATCCATTCACTGCTTTTTGCAGATCAGCTTCTTCCCCAGAGGCAGGGCCAATCACTGTGCTGGCAAGCTGCAGGAAAGCTGAGGAAGATGGAAGCAGTATGTGACACCACTGTCAGCAGCTCCACAGGAATCAGAGCACCCTGTTACCATGGACCAGCCACAGGTCTGCCCAAGTCTCATTAGTGAGTGTATTTCCCAGTCACGGCAGTTCTACTGAACCTTGTTTCTTGGAGACATTTAGCCTGATATGGACTAACTGCTCTCAAAAATGACATAAATCTATGATGACTGTCTGCAGTAAGGGTATGTTTACATTTCAGAGTTCTGGCTGATTCAGACATTTCCCAAGCTCTGCTCTTACCCACACAGAAAACGTTTTGCTCTGAGTTAGCAGAACAACTGGGGCATGAGCTTAAGTTCAGGTTTTGCTTCTGCTGACACTTGCACGCAACCCAGCTCCCAGCACAAAGGCCAGCCAAGCAAGCCCCCAGCCCCCTCCACAGCTCCAGCTGGACATCCTTTCTCTTCCTCTCCTTCCTCTCCCAGTATGGCACCATCAGGCAAGTTCAGTGTTTAAATCCCAAACGTTTCTGCAGCACACAGGAGGCTGAGGAATCAGACAGGTGAAGTACTGAGCTTTGCAGTCCATTCCTGCACTGTGTTCTCATTAAAAAGCTCTCCCTGACAGACACCTCCAGAACTGCCAAAATTAAGAATAAGAAGGCCTATTTTAGTTTGTTTACATATAGCATCACTCTCATGTCATGCCAAGGGCCGCAGCTCTGGGCCAGGTGTCAGACTGAAATCCTGGGCAGCCCTGAGGAAACACTCTAACACCTCAGTGCAGTTTCAGTGGTCAGTGGCACAGAACCCCTCCCCTGCCCACCATGCCCACACAGCACCTCCCCAGGGTCAGGCAAGCAGGCACAAAGGCTCACTGCCAGCTGAAGTTAAGTCTGCAGGGAATTTATACCCTAGGAGGGGATGTGTTTGGTTAGCAGAGGAAAGGTCACCCTAGACAGCTAGCCTGGCCAACCCTCAGGGCTTCCAGCCCTTTGGGCAGCAAGGAAGCTCTCCTGCCAATAAAGAGCTTGCAATATCTGTTCCTCAAATCCATGTCAAGTACATCAACAGGAGCATGTTTCTGCTGCTACCACCAACTTCAGGTTAGCTAGTACAACTGTCAGCTTCTAGACAAAGGGGATGCTTTGTAGAAGGGGGAAGACAGCAATAAGCCCCCCACTGACACTGCCAAGGATGATAGGTGCTCCTCAGCTGTGCACAGCACAACAGCACCTGGATGGCTCCTCACTCCCCAGCTCTCCTTCCTGGTGTGGCTGCCAATGCACCTGAACAGATTTGAGGCACCACATCCCTAGGTGCCATTCTTAAGCCACCAGCAGTTTCTACTGCAAACGTGACCTGAATGATGTACAAGCAGAAAGGGCTTTCAAATGAGAAGTACTACTCTGGCTTTTCCTCAGCTTCATTATGCCAGGCATGCTCTTGAGGTGTCTACTGAAATAGGACAGTTAAGTGTAGACCAGGGCTAAGATGTCCAAGAGAAAAAGAAAGATAGACATATTTCAGAAGAAAGAATGAAAAGTTTCAAGAGGTATCAGAGTTATAAACATGCCCATAGATGTATGGACACATCACAATTACAGCTACTCTTGCCAGAAAGAACCAAAATGAGTACTTATAAAAGTTACACTTTGTCTTAGCTGGACTTCTTGAAAATTCTCTGCATTAAATGAAGCTGTAGAGGTTTCACCCACTTGGAGGAAAGGCACTGGTATTGCAGCAGACTGGTAGAGAGCCAGAACATCCAGCTCAAGTCTATCTTTCCTCTACAGTGTTCAGTATTCCTAGGAGATAACCTTCCTCCCACTGACAGGGAAAGACAGGGTGGAGCAGCTATAAAAACACAGGCTAAAAAAAGTATTATTTTTAAATAATATTTTAACTGTCCTTTTTCAAAACACTTCTGAGGTGAACAGCCTGCTGCTCAGAAGTGCCCACCTTGAAATTTTTCTACAGAGCACCTGAGCCAAAGCCAAATACTGCTCCTTCAGCAGCCAGCCAGTCTGATCCTGTGTACTTCTCTCCCCTGCACCCCTCTTTGAAACAGTCTTCAAAGACAGCTGGCACAACACAGAGCAGGATGCTGTGCCAAGTAACTACAGTATAGTATTTCAGCTTATCACCCATTCCTTTGAAATACCAACCTCAAAATAAAACACTTCATCAAAATGTGGATTGTTGGTCTTCTTTTTAACTTTAGTCTTTTTGGCTTCTGATCTGAATTAAAGAAAGAAAGAAAGAAAAAAAAAGGTTAAGAAACAACATTAGCAGAAGTGTGATCTTAGAACAGGGCTACTGAGGGACAGTCATCCACTTGATGGATCTGATAAACTGAAATACCCTGTGGTTGTAACACAGCAAGGTGCACACACGTGTGAGAGAGGGATCCACTGCTCAGTGGGAGCAATCAGTTTGCTCTCCTCTCTTGAACACAAGTCCTTGAACCCTGGTTCAGTCCCTTGTTTGATCCAGCAGAATCTTATATCTTTACAAATCAACTGGCAAGAATGGTGCTTTGAGGAGCAACATCTGGTGAACGGACCCAAGAATTCCTCCTGCCCTAAAAGCACAGGAGACAGGAAGGCTGCCACAGCTATTCTGGTGTTTCATATTTTACAATCCTAGCCTGGGGAATCAATGAATGCTTTTCAGTGGTGTTAAATAAATCAAAAAACCCAGAATGATTTCCTCAGTAAGAATATTTCTGTTGCTATATCCCCCACCCTTTTCCCTGCAGCCTCAGCAGCACTTGGGTAATGTTAAGTTGTTGTATCATTGTGAGTGGTGCTGAGCAGGATTCTCTTCATATCTGCTGCTCTGCAGGAACAAGCCATGGCAGAGCTCCTTCACACCACTCAGCATTGCCTGTCCAGCCTCCATGGGCAGTGTCATCTGCCTGCCTTTTAGGATGGAGACATCTATCTGCTTGGCCTTGGGTTAGAGCATTTCTCCTGGGCCAGCCAACAGCTGTTTGATGGTTTCCCAATGTTATGAACCTGTGCTTGATCTGTTCTCTTTACCTACAAGTGAAAAGCTCTGTGCCACCAATCCTCCCCTACAGCTCTGCAGGCACAGATAAAACAGACACAGATGGAGAGGCACATCAGCCATGTGGAAAACTGACCTACTAATCATTTCATCCCAGAATCTCTCTCTCATTTCTCACACTGCAAAGCTGCTTAGATAGCTTCTAACTGCTTATATTAATGGCACAACTCTATGTCCTCTTTCACAGAGGTCAAGTAAAGCTGGTTCTAATTCCCAGTGCTGCTACAGGCTTCCTGTGTGACTTGAATGGGCCAGTCCCTCAGTGTACAGTGTTTTCCCATCTATTATACAGACATAGAAACAGTTTTGGCCAGGAAGTCTGATGGCCCTGTAAGCACAAATAACACAATAAACAGCAGCACGTTTGTTGGGTTTTATGCTTGGCATTGCATAAAGGCAGCAGAATAAAGCAGCTTTCCTACTCTAAAAGGAGAAAAATCCAGAGAGAAAAAACCCATTGAAAAATCCAGAGAGGAATGATGTACAGATTAAGACTTTCCCACTGAGCCTAGGAGGAGCTGAGAGATAAGAAAGACTAATCTCCTGCAGGACGTAGGGCAGCTTGCCTATCCCAGCTCATCAGTCACACTTGCCAATCTTCCTCTTTACTGATAAGCCCATCTGGGAGGGGACTGGGGAGCAGGATGTAGGATGGGAGGTGATTAAGGCAAGCACAATTACTGGGCAATTACAAAGCAGTGGATGGGAATAAGCTGCATGCTGCCTGCTGGAGATAGGAGGCAAGCCTTTGCCCCCCACCAAAGAACAGAGAGGAATAGGATGAGGCTACACTCCCAGTTCTGAAGAGAAACACATTATCTGTTCTCAAACACTATCTGGGCTGGGGGGTGAAGGGAGGCAGACAAAGGCAAGGATAAAAGCTACCCAGGACCATCTGAAACAAGTTACAGGCTTAAACCATCAAAGCATAGAACTCAAATACACAGCTCATTAATGGAGACCAGGAGTAAGACACCTAGACAAAAAATACACACCAGTCTCAAAGACTCCTCTGCATGCAAGGTAAGTACTTGTCAAGAAGGCATCTGATCTCCAGTATTTTCAATAAATTGTGAGACATCATGAATAACCCACGCTACCAAATCTGATTCTCTGAGGTCACAGCAGAGTTGTTTTGTTTCTGCCATGGCACAGACATACAAGACAACTCTAAAGAAGCAGAAACAGAACAGTAGCTTCCAGCAACGTGGGAAATTTTTGGATACAAAACAGGAAAATTTAATCCCAAACTTAAACTGAAGAGTACTATGCAGAATCTCATTAATACAACCTCCTTCCAAGTTTTATCCATGCTGTTATGTTCACATATTATAGGACTGAGCCTCCTAAGGCTTTTGACATATACATTAATTTGCCACACCCCAGAAGTGAAAAGACTCTAAACATTCACACACAAATGTGCATGCCCTGCAATATGTTGACATATTCAGCTTTCACTTCTTCCCCTGCCCAAAATGAAGCAATAAATTTGCTCAAAAACTGGCCTCCAACTGTGAGGTGAGAAGATGCACAAATTAAGCCTAACCACAAATTACATACTGCAGGATATTCAAATTATCCAGAGATTATTCAGACCTTTACATAAATCACAACTGAAACAAGCCTCAAATTTCTTACTCTAGTATAATTCAGTAGTTCATATCTGCACGTATCAACACTGAACATATTCTAGTAGTGTTTAAATACTACCATCTGTCCATCTGAGAATGCAAATTTCTAATAGACAAGGTAAACAGAAAAGATCCTTACAAAATGGAAGCTCTGGTAGGTGCAGCACTTACCTGGAGGGTCCTGCTAAGGTAACTGTGGCATAGGGATCACATTGTCCATTCACAATGGGCAGCCCTTGGCACTCTAAAACTCTAGAAAAGATGAAAATGGAGACAAAACAACTCAATGAAATGCAAGGACAGCAGTGAAAATAAAATCAATGCATTCCCATTCTGTTTCCTTTTCATAATACCTTATATGGGAGAACTGAAATGTTGTTTAGCACAAGCATTTGATTTATACCTAAACTTAAAAAAACCCATTTTAGTCTTAAATACTAACTTTAGCAGGGTTAAAAATACTGTTAATTTACAGAGAAGCCTTAACTCAAAGGATTCTTCTGCAAGTACAACAACTTCAAGTTCACAGAACAAGAGTCTGCTGTCAAGATGGGAGCTGTCAGCACTTTCAAATTCTGTGACAACTTCTTTCACCAAAAAAAAAATAACCAAAACAGAATTGACTTCTATAACAAAAGATTTTTAAAAAATCCACACAGACAGATCCCAGCAGCAGTCAAGGAATTTCTCAGAATCACATTCATGAAGGTCCCAGTGCTTCTGACAAGGTTTGGCATGGGCTCATTTATAAAGGTGAGTTAAAACTGCAGGCCAGGAGACAGTATGGCACAGGATGGATCTTTCTGCATCAAATTTAAATAGCAAAGCTACAGAAACATATCCAGCAGGTCTGCACTGAAGTCAAAAAGTCACTGGAAAAATAAAATGGAACAAACTGGGTTTTGCTGCAAGCCATGGTGAGAAATCTGCACTTGTACACTCCCACTTCAGGATCTCTTTGGAGAAAAAGAAAAAATTCAACATAATGCCAAGAAAAAAAAAACAGGGACAAAAAAATTTCACATTTCACAAGTTAAAACCTACTGAGGAATGCAGCACCAATTGGAAACAAAGGCAGACAAGCCAGTTGCCAGGACTCTCCCTCCTGGAACAAGTTCTGCTTCCAACAGGTAAACCTGTTGGGCTGATGACTTTACACAATCACAACTGGCAAATTTTGGCCAAGACAGATTCTGAAGGTCTTTGAGCAGGTAAGTAGCACTCTACTTGCAGTCTGAAATATCTTGCAAACTTCTAGGTGTTACAAATTCAGCAGAAGCAGTAATATCCATTTTACTGCTTCCAGTGACAACAACTTTGATACCCAAAAGAACTGTTTTTAAAAATCAGCACAGAAAAAGTCAATAACAGTGCTCCACAATTTTATCCACAAAGCAAGTTATTTGTTAACATATGATGTGCACTTCAAATACAGCTTAACTACAAACCTGTTTTGTAAAAAATTGAATATCCTGCACCAAGAGAGGAATGGTTTTTGTCCCTGAGGTACACTCTAGATAGACTCACACAGTCCCAGGAGCACATGAAGACTGAAGATCACACTAAGGGGTACACACTGGCAGCTGAAGTGATGATGTTACATTCACAGCTGGAACCTCACACCTATGATCCACAGAATAAAGACTAAGCAAGCTCCAGTAACCCTCCAGGTCAAGTAACACCCAATACATGCAATTTGGTTGTCTAAATGCATGCGTCCATTTGTCCCTCCAGGAGGGCAGGAGGCACCCCCAGAACATGTGTGTTTGACAGCTCCACACCTCTCAGGAGCTTCATAAATTGATGAGATGTCTGTTTTCAAGCAGACAAGTCCTACTCCAAATTCATCCAGCTTACCTTACAAAGGAGGTGTAGAATAGGCTTTTTTCTATGTGTATTAATACAGTATTCAAAATTGCAAATGAAAGGCTACTTTTTAAATTGAAAAAGGGCAGATGTGAACAGAAAGAACACTTATGAGGAACTTTAAATTGTAGCTTTCTGGCAGAGTAGCTAGAAGTGAAGGAGGAAAAACCCTAAGTACCAACAGAAAGCCTTTATAAAGAGGCAGGTTCACCTTGATTTTCTTAAGAGTCAAGGACACACCACTTTCCTTCTAGTGGTCTTTACATTAATATGACTATATTCACAGCAGAAACACTTTACCAGTGAGCCACAGCATGATTGCTTGTAATTCTTCCAGGATAGCAGGCATGGCTTGAACAGAACAGTTGGATACCAAGTGTCAGTGTCAAACCCTCCACCCCTTCCACTGCTTCTTTAAGGCAGCCTGTAAGTTCCTTAAAATTAAATAGTAACCCAACAGCTTTACTGCAGGCTGCCAATTTTCTGCTCTTGATGAATGGCTTCCAAGCCAGCTCTCATCCTTACAGGAAGAACTATGTAAAAATTAAACACAGAGAAAGCACGTTCATAGAGAGTATAATTCCTGTTTTAATAAAAGCAGTCCTTTCAAGAATATGCAGACAGTAGAAAGTGACCCCAGACAGCACAAAAGATGCTTGCAGACATCCAGAGTTTATAAATCACTCCAAAATAAAACCACACATGACTCAGTGATGGAAAGTGTGAAGTTATCCACACAAAAAAACCAAACCCATGCACACCCTAACTATACATATACAGCAAAAGTAGATCTGTTCTAATGGTGCCACACAAGAATTTTTAATGTTTTCTGTGGATAGCCCTCTGTCATTATCCCATCTATTGTCAGCAATGGTTAAACAAACAGTGCCATTAGCTGGTTGGAGAGAACACAGCAATGTAAATCACTGGGCACCTGCACCTTGATTTGTGCATGCTCTGCAGAACACGTGGAGAGGAACAACAGCATGACTTCCAATCACTCCTGGCTCTCCTGAGTCTGCACTCTCCAGCTTGGCAAACAAATTATCCATTTTTGAACAGCTCACAAAAGCATGAATGGTGTGAAGAGCATTTCCTCACAAAATCAGAATTAAAGGGCACATAATGAAATTACCAGCCAGCAAGTTTAAAACACACAGAAGGAAGTGCTTCTCCCATACAATGGGTAATGAAATGGCAAAACTTATTGCCAGGGGATGTTGTGGAGGCCAAGAGAACACATGGATTCAAACCAGGACTACACAAACTCATGGAGTGTAGGTCTGCAGGCAGCTATTAAAGCTTTAATGATCCAGAAGCCTCCTCCAGCTCAGGAAAGCCCAAACTGCTGATTAAGGGTGTAACACTGGAGCAAGCATATCATATATGAAGTGTCACTCAGCAGCAAATATCAGGAACAGCACCAGGCTAAGCAGAGGGGCATTTAACATAGTAGGATAGGTTTTAGGTTCTTTGGGGAAAAAAAACCAAACCAAACAAACCAACCCAAAGGAAAAAACAAAATACACAGATGTTCTCATACAGTCATGATGACTTATGGAGTTGGAGTAAGAAATGCAAAGACAACCTTGAAAGAAACAATGTGGAAAAACAGGAAACAGACGCCAACATAAACGATATCCCGAAGCCTTTCAGGTAATTTAAAAGCTGCTATTGTTTAAGGGTGTTGAAGAAAGCAGACAAGAGACTGAAGACACAGGATCTAGAGGAAGGAAGGTGATGTGTGGAGAGAGGTTCACTCTGGTTCTTTTGGCATTGTGGGGAAAGACGATAAAATGCAACAAGGCACAGGTCTAGCTGACTCAAGTTAGCATACCCTCATCAGCTGCAGGAAACTGTAGTCCCAGAGCTGCTTTTGTTATGGCCATTTTCTTCAGCCATGGGAAAGCTGCTTGGCAAATTAACACCACTCCTCTCCTAACCTGCTACCAAAATTCTTGCTTTAACTGCCAAGCTGGAAAAGAGCTAGAACAAAATGACAGCTCTGCAGGGATACAATGAAATGGAGCCTCGATTCTGCCACATGGGCATCACGTTATTAAGACTGACAGTTCATAGCAGGATTAGATGAGAAAAACACATGAGAAGAAATATATAGTAAATGTATAAGCTCGGGGGGGGGAGGGTGTTGGGAAGCAATGAATAAAGCCAGTAAAAGGGAAATGCCTTTGCTCTCATTATCTGGAGAATTCATTTAACATATGTGTATTAGAATAATGAAAAAAAAAAGCCTAGGCCATCAAAGACGAGTCAAGATTCACAAGTTAACTCATCAGGCCCCAGGGGAAAAACGTCTGGTGGCTGTTAGAATCTTTTCTGCCCAACTGGTAGTTTCTGCTGTCTGGAGCCCAGCTGGGGCAGGGGCAGGGACAAGGAGAGGCTGAGCCACCCCTCCCAGCTCCCCTGCCTGGGCTAAGGTTAGTGCTCGGTCAGACGGGAGAAGTCTCCATGCAGCTGCCTCACTATATTTTGCTTGTGGTTTATAGAATGAACAGGTTTCAAGGAACGAGACATTTCAGTTTTCAGTGTGGTTTATGACCAAACCTTCACATGAGTAAATAAGCTATGGAAAATTCCCAGAGGGTAAAAGAAAACCTCAAACCCAAACGCACCACGAGTGTGCCCTCTTGCCTTTAAACTACAGGAGTACAGAAGTTGGGAGGGTGGGAGGAGGAGAAGGTTTTAAAGAAAGATTGATTGTTCAATAAAAATTCAGCTGCACACCTGTGACAGTACAGGCATTCCCCCTGCCTCCAGGAGGCTGAGCTACAGGCTGTAGTCTCCAAGGCAGCCCCTACACAGTCATACCCAAAACCAGGCTTAACACAGGCCAGCAACGTCAAGGCGCTCCAAGCCCGTGGGCGTTCCACACCCCTTCCTTGGAATTGCAAAAATTCCCCTAAAATTATAGGCTTTCCAGTTAGTTCAGGATCCACATGTGTCATCAGCATCCTCATGAGCCAGCATGGATGACCAACACAAAACAGGGGACAGAACAGAAACAGAAGGGACATAGCTGTTCTTGAAACGTGTATCCATATTTGCTGCTCTTCCAGACTGAACCATCCCAGTGTACCCACTCAGGCTCAGCTCTCCCCCCAGCTTCAGCCTAGGACAGGGAACAGCACATTGTTCCCATTCCCTTCTCTCAAATCAGACTGTCTTCTCACTCTGATTCCTCAAGAGAAAATAAACACTTTTTTTTTCCCCCTACACAATCTTGCTTTCTACTACTGTACATAATCCATGCATTTTAATTGCTTTCACATACAACCTGGGTTCCTAGGCTCAAGCTTAACACTTGGCAAGCTTACTGATATACCTCATTAATCTTCTATTTCCAACCTCCACTTGTTCCACTTCTC